AAATGGATTTTTCAAAAACTTGAATGCCAAATGAAATTTTTTTAAATCCGAAAATCGTGAATCGAATGCTTTAATCAAAATATTGAGATACTGAAAAAAAATGTCTGTGTCGTAGCCGAGCTCGAATTCTTCACTGAATTGGTTTGAATGAAAGCGAATGACGAACTCGACAGCATTGTTACATGAACAAGTCTCGACAAGATTCATCGACCGAATCCAATCAAAACAAATATGCTTGCATACAAAATTATTGCTTATTACACACTTTTGATGAAAAATTGAAATGAAGCTACAAACGAAAAAACAGCACCGTTTTTATCAAATGTTTATGTTAAATAGAGCGTTATTGAGAATTTTACAGTAGCGAATTTATTTCTATTGCTGCTCTTTGTTCGGTTCAGTTTATCAAATTGATGTTAAATCATTGAAAATTAAATATGATATATCATGGAAATCAAATCTTCTCGTGGCCACTTGAAATATTCTCGGTGGCCAAATGTGGCCCAGTGGCCACCATGTTGGACAGCACTGTACTAGCACCCATATGGTCGATCAACTGTAGTACAATTGAGTCATGTAGGGAGTCACAATATGAGTTGAAAACACGAATTTCTGCTCGTCACAAACGGCAAAACGCAAGTCGCAAGTCAATTACGTAGTATTAGTAAACGAAATTCCGCATTTGTACTGAAATTACCAATATATTTGAAAAAATCTATTGGTAGTTTGACGTTTCACCGATGGAATTCGCAGGGTCTACTGATTCTCTTTTCTATGTGCGTGTACTTTGATCAATCAGTTCTCTCCAATTTTCCCCGAATTTTTGTTCGCACCAGGATGCAGTGACGAGCAGAAATTCGAGAGAAATCATCAAAAATCTACATACAGTATTGGTGCGCGAAACAGAAAGTCATGAATTTCCCGCACACTCACGCAATCAATGAGTCATACAATGAACGTTCAGAAATTTTGAGTAGTTTGTTTTTGGAAAATAGCTTAAGTTTTTTAAACGATAAAGATTTGTGGGACTTAAGATTTCCGAACGTTCAATGTATCAATTCTGATTCTTTGACTCGACTGACTTATTGCCTTCAAAATGGAGTAAGAATCTAACTCGTTTCTTACGACTCATGAAGAGTGAGTCACATCAAGTTTGAATCACTTTGGACAAATGAATGACTCCGATTATGACTCATATTGTGACTCCCTACATGACTCAATTGAATGTCCGAGAATGAAAACGCAACTTCTATTCACAACACATATAAGTGAAACAAAAATAAAAAATTTATTGAAATGAAACAACAAAATCGAATTTTTTCAAAGTGTAACAACAAAAAAGATTTTTTTTAAAGTGTAACATCGGTATGTAGTAAGTGTAACAACATACCGATGTTACACTTTAAAAAAATCTTTTTTGTTGTTACACTTTGAAAAAATTCGATTTTGTTGTTTCATTTCAATAAATTTTTTTATTTTTGTTTCACTTATATGTGTTGTGAATAGAAGTTGCGTTTTCATTCTCGGACATTCAATTGTACTACACTGTTTCACTTTTCCGAACAGGAGTCATCGAGCCAGCATTCATACAAAAAAAATCGATTTCGGACACTTGCCATGAAAATGTACCGAAAACCAATTTTTCCGAAAATGTCTACAATTATTACTCGGCCACCAGACAAGATTTTACCAAACTGAAAACGCCATTCGCCAGCACTATTCGAGCACTATTTTTTGATGTATAATTTGTGTAGAAAAAATTAAAATTTCACATACCTCCCATAAAAAAGTACCAAAAAATCGATTTTTCAACTTCCGACGAATAGTGCTAGCGTCTCCGAACAGCACTATTCATGGGATCAATTGCAATCGACAGCACTATTCGAGCACTATTTTTTACATGTTCTGGTTTACCAGCACTATTTCCGGGCGATGCTGATGACATGTACCTCTACAATTTCATTATCTGACATGAAGCTTGTATTTATAGTACTTTGTTCAACAGTTCTTGGTCTATCATAAAAACTGATTCGATAACGAACACAAATAAAACTTTGAACTAAAAAGAGACAAAAAAAGTTGCGAGAAAAAGTGACACAGCTCAGCACTGAGCGTAAAAGAAGTTTTTTTCGGCATTTTTCTCCACAACTGGAAAGAGATAGTGACTAGGTGTCTTCGGCATGGTTGTGGTTCTTTTGATGTTCTACAATAATGCTGAAGATACCTAATCGTTATTATTTGACAGTAGCGAGTTTCGTATCAGTTATAGAAAAAGAGCTCATAAGTTCCACTCTTGCTTTGTGCGTGGCAATTGATCTCAATAAAAACGTTCAAAATATGAAAATTGATTTCCGTAATTCATTGCGATATATTTGTTTGATTTTCCTCAAAACAGTCTCATCCGAACGAAATGAATTGGATACGCAGAAATGAACGTATGACTGGTTTCGATTTTGGACCACCACTATCAAATGGCACTAGAGGAATCTCTGTGTGGCCACAAATTTTCAAACATAAATTGAAAGAAAATCAAACAGTCGCCATTTTATTGGTTGACACCCAAGCTTTGGATTCGATAACAGAACCAAGTGTTGATAAAGATGCACGAATTTTTGCGTTCAGTGTGATGGCTTCATCGATACAGTTGTACAATGTGCATGGTGACATTGAGTCCTCTGATCTGCTTAATTTGGATTTATACACTACATATGGCAGATGGGCAAATAAAAACAAAACACTGTTCCAGAATTTAAAAATAATTAATCGAGATAAACCAGATAATTCGTATCCTTATCCGTTCGAATCATACGGATGGCAAAAAGATGGGAAAAAGATCTATTTTAGCAGCAAGGAAAATGATCCGGATACAATTAAAGAACAAATGAAACGATTCAATCAATCCTACGAGAATATTGATGTTTTTTATATGCCATCCCCCGGTGAAGATGTAACCACGTATGTAAACGGCTATAAAGGCGATTTGAATGTGGTGAATAAAGAATTCATAAGAAATGCGACCAATTTGGTCGAATCACTGTTCGATCCAGAAAAACTTCTAATAAAAAAGGTCAATGGTAGAGTAATCAAAGCCAATCAATTCATCGAATATTTAAAATTTTATGGAAAAATGTTAAATTCACCCGATTTACCGTATTTTGGCACACATGTTCAGGTGAGCTACATTAATTTTATCATAAACAACTTTTTCAATTTAAACCTTAATGGTTACTCGCAACAAAGGGTTTACAAACATTTCCACAAATACCGCAAACGGTGTTATAAAAACGTTATTTTTCTGTAGTATTTTATTTTGACAATTCAAAATACCACAGAAAAAACGATAAAAAACGGAAAAAAACGTTTTTTGGACGTTATACAATGGCTCTGTAAAAAAACGTTTTTGGGAAACACTGAAAAAAATAACGGTTTTTTATATAATAACCCCACTCCCAACTCTATGCAGACGACTCATCCACTACATAATACATATATTGGCAATGACATAGAATCACCATTAAAACAAATTATTTTTATTATTATATTATTCTTTCAACAGAACGTCTTGGATATCAGTTACATGGAATCGCGCGCAAAATGTTTAGAATTTTATGAAAAAAACATGCAGGATGAGATTAAAACATGCGATCCCACAAATAACGTATCTTATTTCTCCACGAATGACTTACAGGCAATTGATCAAAAATACAAGAGAATTTCAATGAAAATGGTTTGTATTATTTTCAAATCATTTAATGGAGATATTTACAATTTTTTTTTTAATGTATTTAAATCAACCAATTTATTTTTGTTTGTCATTTGAAAAAAATAAACACAGTTTTCGGCGCAGAAGGAACACAATTCAGAAGAATACATGAGAAAATGGGAAAAGAAACTTGAAGATGGTATTAAAAATAAATACGATGGTCCAAGCGAAACGAGTTTCGTGAATAAAAATAAAGAAAATGAAAAATGCTTTAAGGTATGTATTTTATCAATAAGGAAAACCTTGATTTCAAATCCAACACTTGACTGGTAAATGTCAGAATAATTTACGGATTTTATTACTAACATTTCAGAACAAAGTTAATGAATCTTATTGGCATTTAGTTGACGATATAGCCCACGAATATGATAGAAATATTTCAGCTGCAGTTGATAATGCACAATCGGGTTTGAACGACACAGAATTTAGTAAAATGGAAACAGATTCCAGAAATATATCCATGAAGAAGGTACTTAACTGACATTTGAATTGTAATATGATATATAATAGTATTTTTTTCAATTCAATTTTAGTTTAACAAATTATATTTTCTCATCTAATTTCATCTTTTTAAAAATTAATAAAATACGATTGAATAAATTGTTACTAAATCAAATTTGTGCATTGTTTTCTAATTACAGTTTGAAGACGGAGATAAGGAGAGAAAGAGCAAATATGACGAAAAAAAATATGAAGAAGGAATTGTTGACAAATTCAGAAACATGCTGGACACAAAAATGAATAAATCCCTAAGCGTAGTAAAAACAAGAAATAACGAAAAACGTTATTCATCTGACGACGATACGATTTGGACTACAGTTGCGATAATCGGGATCGTTTTAAGCGTGGGAGGAATTATCATTCTTTTATTTAGGTGTGTTTTGGGCTATCGTAAACACTCCGAATTGTAACATAGTCCAAATTGTAAAATATTTGCAAAAAAACACGATTTCAACATAGATACAAATTGTAAATGCGACACATTATATACATATTCGGAAAAAGCACGAAAAAATCTATCTATGTAGAATAATAATTAAACACTGAAAATGTTTTAGTTTACATTCATTTATTCATTTTGAAAACAGCATCTAGTTTTTCACTGGTTTTAAGAGGAAAAGTTGAACTATGTTGCAATGTCAGGCTTCCCAATTCATTGCTTTTTCCACTAAATACAGTACAAAATATTTGATGTTTTCATGAATTTCTACTGTGAAATGTTTTTGAAAAATTAATGAAACACTCTTTTTGCAATATATTTCGACAAATATTAATATTTTAGATAAATTTCATGATGTATCAATTGTAACTCATTCTTTCCGAGTTATAACATATAAAGCTGCTGTCAAACTGAACTTTGAGTTCTATGGCTGATTTGGTGTTGACAGATGTGACACTTCGCATTGTGCCGATCACTTAGTGTGTTGAAATGTATGATTGTGTAAATATTAGGCTGTCCTGCCATTCACCGGTTTTAAATCAACATAGCTCGTTTTATTCGTTACACGTTGTAGAACATTTCATAGAAGAAACTTTTTTGAAAAAATGATTCTCCGCGATCAAAATTGAAGAAAAAAAAAAAAATCAATTGAAAGGTTTCACATAAAACGGGCAAGATGGCGACTTCGAATACATTTCAATACTTTCACACA